GAATAACTCATTACCCACACGGCAGCTGCATGTTTCATAGTGTTTAAAGTATTTCTACATACACTGTCTTGTTTTGATGTCCCAAAGAGCCCTGTGAGAAGAAGGTATTACTAAGTTTACCCAGATCACATGATTAGATCACATGACTTGTAGTGACAAGGGTGGATTTAGAACCACGATGCTGGATGACACCCAGGAAATCTCCTCACTTTCCTCTCCTTGGGTCTTGATGGGGTCTCCGGGACAACCTCAGACCTAAGCACACAACAACCACGGAGACTGGTCACTAGATTTTCTCTTAAATTAACAGACGTGTTTAGGCCTTAGTCATGAAGTTGGGGCTACAAAGCTGTGACTTAAGTGGGAGGGGTGAGTGACTTTCAGAAACGATATGTTTTAAGACAACTATGGGCTGCCTGCACCTGTACAGCCTAGAACAGGGCACATCACACACTATTAGGAGCTAAAGCAGTGGGCTACAAAAACCCTGGCCAGAAAGCTGGAGAGGTTCCCGGGGTAGCCTGGGGTGGTGGGGTAGGTTGCTGGGAGTGGCAGTGGCAGCTCCTTCCTAACTAGCCATGGAAGGAGCTGCTTTACCTGGGCACCTAAGCTCTTGTAAGGACTCCCTGTCAACATGGCCGACCCCACGTAGGAAACAAAGTGATCAATGGAATCAAATATGAAAAAAGAAAAAGTCAATATATCAATAGAGCCCACCAAACTTAATAAAATCTTTCCTTAGCCACCAATAAAATCAGTTAAATCCTTATGAAAGCTAACCATGCTTTTAACTTTTAGATCACCAGGATGAAACGGGGAGCCTTTTTGCATGTGATTTAGTTCCCACACTGTATAGGCCAGAACCTGGCTCTGTTTAGTGACATTGTTATCAAAATATGATTCATACAGCATGAAATATATCAAGTATGGGACTGGAGAGATGGCTCATTGGTTAAGAACGCATATTGTTCTTGCAGAGGAACTGAGTTCAATTCCCAGCACCCACATAGGTAGCTTACAACTGCTTGTAACTCCAGCTCCAAGGAATAATTGACCCTAACCTCAGATACATGAACAAACACAGACATACACACATGTACATATAAACAAATAATAATAAAAATACTTAAAACGATACCAAGTAAAAGTTCAGGTTCTTTTTTCTTTTCTCGTCTCTACTCTATAATTTGCCAGATAAATCATCTATTCTCCTTGAGAATTACAAAGCATTTGATCCCAAAGGTGAATTTTAGTTTTAGCCCTAATATTCTGTTCTGCACCTGAACTCAACTGACAGACAGCATCTGTCTATTTTACACTGCATTACCAAGATAGAAATTAACGTGTGGGGAAGGAGCAGAGCATACCCAGCCTCATCCTAGCCTGGGTCAGCTACTTTTGGGCCTGAAATCAGAGGTGGCATAGCCTTTCTGGAGGGCTGTGTCTTTACACAAGGAGGAAGTCTGATCAGAGTTCTAAGCCCTCACCCTTTCCTGCAGATTTGGGTTTCTTACCCAGATCTTATTCGGAATAGGAAATGTATAACTGCGATGTGGATCAATATAATGGTGATTATGCTTATTACTACTTGGGGATTATAGGAAGAATCATGTTTTAGTAAGATTAATTTAGGAAACTAGTTATTTTCTCATTTCAGTTCTCTGAATCTGCACATAAGGGCCAGTGGTGGAGCTGTGTTCTCTGAGGCTCTGCCTGGCTTGGTGCTCTGCCAGTGGAGACAGTGGAGCTGATGGTACTGAGGCAAGTGGGCAGAAAGGATACCACCCATCAAGACCTGATGAGAAGGAGCCTTTTGTTTTTAATTAAAAGCATAACTTTTAAAATGCCTCATTCATTTTTTGTTTTTGTAAAATCAAAACACAGGAATTTTCCTTAAATGAAAACCAGAGACAGTTTAAACTTTTTTTTTTTAAGCAAGTAAGTTATAAAAAGAAGCCTAGGAAATTGTCTTCTGTAATTCTGCCAGTTTCAATTTGTTGGTTTTTTTTTTTTGGCTTTTTATGCAGCTAGTATCAGGATAATAATATTGAGTTGACAAGGAAGAGAAGAGAGTTCTAAGTAGCTGTTTTGCATTCACTTCAGTTGTGCGGCTTGGTGATGTGAGGTTAGCTACTGTTACTACTGTCACTGGAGACGCTTTGATGAGCGCCCGGAAGGAAAGTCAGATTACAGTGCTGTCAGCATTTCAGATAGCCCAAGTCCACACAAACGGAGGCCCTAAGAAACCCTAACACAGCAGTCCTAATCCTTTTTGACTATTTCTCTTGGGGTCATAAAATGAAATGGGGAACTGGGTGCAGTGGTGCACACCTGTAATCCCAGCACTCAGGAGGCAGAGGCAGGTGGATCTCTGCATTGGAGGCTAGTCTGGTCTACAGAGTGAGTTCCAGGACAGGTTTCAAAGATATACAGAGAAACCCTGTCTCGAAACAAAACAAAACAAAAAAACAAAACCAAAACAAAATGAAAGGGGGAACACAAGTCAAATTTAGATAAAAGGTTAAATTAAGTTATAGGTGAACATTATTAATTTATTAAGTACAGATTCCTTGCTGCTTGTTCCTGTGAAAACAACCGGCCTTTCTGTTCTAGCTACATCCTAGGGTCTTGTGCAAACACCTAACAGCTCATGGTGGCAATGACTAAGACACATTCAGCTTCATCCACGGGTATTTCCTGATGTTTCTTTGGTAAACTGTAGCCTAGTAGAAGATATCAGGAATTAGTGTAAGAAGTATTCTAAAGAGCTATTGTCACCGCAAACATGAAAGCAACTTTGATGATCAAAAAGAAGTCAACAACAAAAAAAGGCTGAAAGTAGTTCCTGAATCCTTCCCTATTGTTCATTTGGGATTTCTTGATTTCCCAACTCTCAACATATTATGGAATTTTCTGTGTGAAGTTTTGCCATGAATTTAAGTGGTGTCAACAAAGTTTTACCTTAAGTCACATTTTACCACAAAATGGAGAAGCTGCAGCCCTCCAGGGAGCCCCAGGAAGTTTTCTGCTTTTGAAAAGCTTGTTTTTTAATTCTTTTAGTTACACGTGTCCTGGACAGGGGATGGTGCTCAGGTGACCTTCCGTGATAATTGCACTCATGCTGCTTGGGCCTGCGTGCCACCACACTCCCATCTAAGGACGTGCTTTCTGCTGTGGCCACACCTGCCCTGTGCTCATTCCCTTCGCCCGCCCGAAGCCTTTCTCTGCCTGTGGAAGGTCAGTGGGACCAGCTGTCACAGGCGCTCAGAGCTCCAGGGTTACTTTCTTGTCATCCTTTGGAAGCCTGGGATTTGAAACTGGTACCAGTTTGCTTCTTCCTTTCTTACATTAACTAGAAATGAACCTTGAGGTTGTCACAGAAGAACAAGGTCTAGAATCCAGGTGACCTTGTGTCTGACACACCTATGCTAGGTGTGGTCTTATGTGACCATCTGAAAAACAAAGATGGTGATGCTGACTTTGATGGTCACAGAGAGGATTAAATACTTCTGTACAATGTCTGTTCCCCTGCAGACAGTTGGGAAGTACGGGTGCTTTTTTTTTTTTTTAAATCAGAGTATTTCTACTGTTTTCAACTCTATGACACAGACACTATATAACACACAACATACAAACACATGCATATGTATTTGTGAAAGCAGAACTATATATGTGAAATAGATTCTACAGGGAATACACTATGACGTGGCTAGTAGTTACAGTAGTCAAGTAAGTTTTAACTTTTTGACTTCCATATGTTTAAATAAAAATAAATTCAGAATGTATCGCACACATGAATGCAAATCATACAGTCACAAAACTTTCAGGGAAAAAGGAGACAATTTGGAACTTAGTGCTAGGACAAAGCTCTTGGTTTGACACTAAGACCTGATCCCTAAGAGGAAACGCTGATAAACTGACCTCATTAAAACCCTTTGGTTAGCGAGCCTGTTAAACATGCAGACGCATTTGACAACTGCACAGTGCAGCAACTGTGAGAACTCAGCACCATTTTGTCCCACACCTGCGGTAAGGCCCTCTGTCAATATCTCCAGAGATGCACAGAGTCTTTGTGACCAGACCTGAATGCTTATATTTTTCAAAAGTCAAGTGACCCGTCTTGAGACCCTGTGCTGAAGTTCACTGACCCAGCTGAGGTACTGTATCTGCGGACACTCCTGGTGGCTTGTGCCTAGTGAACTGTGACACTGAGGAGGTGGTGGCAAGACTATACTCAGTGACTGAGGACAATGATTCACCCAGGATTTCATCAGCACTCGTAGGTCTCTGTTGGTCCACTGGTAAAGGTTTTAAAGTATCAAAATTGCCACTTGTTGTAATTCATGAAAACCAAGAGTTGAGTAAAAATAAGCCTGTTATTTCAAAATAAAATAGGTCATTAGCTATTGTCATAGTCAGCTTATTTTATTAAAAGAATAGAAAGAAAGAGAACATTAAAACTCAAAAGAAAACAGGATTTATGCCTGTTAACTAAATAATGTCCACTGATTTTATGGGGCTTTATACAGTCAGAATATATGCCCACTTATTTTTAAATGATCGTGTAGAAGACACTCTTGGCTGCCTACCCAACATCTGTTTCTCTGATTCTTTGTCACCCCCCCCCTTTCTTGAGCATCCCCATCATCATCTGGCAGAGGAGTGAGTCTAGAGCTCCTCATTCTCAGGAGAGGCTGGAAACTCACTACCCTCGGCATCCAGAGAGCGCAGATATGGGTGGGATATGTGGCAGTGCTGTAGCCATCTTGGAATTGCTTTGAGAATGAAGCCACCAAAGGGGGTAGAGCCACCAGAATGTCAGAGATGCAGCTCCAGTGCCTCACTATCTCTAGACCGCCTCTTCTGTGTGGTAATGCTCGTCCTTGTTTCTGATGGCCCAGTGGGGCACTCTGTTCTCAAAACAAGAGGATCCTAGCTGCCATAGTGAAGCAGTCGCTGGGCTGGAGAAGGACGGAACAAAGCAGCCAGAGAGGACGTACCTGTTCCTGTGCCTCCAGCTCTTTGTGCTGCAGCTTCTTCTCTGCACTCCGCACCTGATTAGAGCGGGTTTCCAGTTCCTCTTGTAAAGCCTGCAACAGTGGAAAGAAATACAGCAACATCAGAGATTAGTGTACTTGAAAAAGTAGCTTGCCACATGAATTGGTATTACCAAGGCCTTGGATGGTGGCTTTTCACTGCTGATTCAAAGAGTTTCAGCGAACAAGGCCGGGTTTTGTGTGCTAGGCCCACATCATTCGTGCTGGAATAAAACCCTGCAAAGGAGTGTGCTGGCACACGACTGTAGTCTCAGCCTCGGGAGGCTGAGGCGAGTCTAGGCTACATGGCAAGACCCTGTCTCAAGATGCCAAAAAGTCATAGAAAATAAGCCCTAATGTATAAAAGAGATAAGTTAGCAAATGTCAATTATTATTAAAATGTCTTACATTTCCAGCATACGGCTATGACTATGTATCAAAGAATAAACTTATTGTTAGTTAGAGCAGCCTTACCAGTCAAAGAATGAAGTGTTCTTTTTCTTTCTATCTATTGTGATATCTAATTGTAATTATCAATTCATAGCAAACCTAAAGGAATTTCCACAGCAACTCAGGATAGTGTGGAATTTGAAGAACCTGGAAGATGTGGACAGAGGTGACCTTGCAGTTGCCAATTAGCTGTTAGAAGCAGATTCCAGGTCACCATGGGGAGGTTGGAAGCCACAAAGGTCTACAATTATCATTTTGTCAGTTACCATTTTAAGTAAAATGTAAGCTAGAAAAGATGCAGAATACACGACGGTAACCCTGTATCATTAAAGAAATGAGACACAAAAGTTACAGCGGACAGAAAGCATGGGGTGGTAATAGCAATGATCAGTCTGGGAGTGAACCTCATCCAGTCAGTATGACTGCATTATGCTGAGACTGTGACAGGGTCCCTATAGGTCATGAGAAGAGAAACCAAAGGGCCCTCCGAAGTCTCCAGGCCTACGTTATAATGGTGGGGCAGCGAGCAAACAGTGAGTGTAATACAGATCCTTGGTCAGTGCAGGAGAGAGACACGGGGGTCGGGGGGTGGGGGGCTATCCTGGGGAAAAGGTTACAGTTCTAAAACAAATGACTCAAGAAGGGTTATCTGAGCAAATCTTCGCAGCTGTGAAGAGTGCAGGCCACGTGAACCATCAGGAGAGCCATCCTTCCAGGCAGAGGACACTGCAAGTACCAAGACCTCGGGAAGCCACAAAGGTTACGGTGGAGATGGAGCAGAGGGGGGACCACGAGGTCTCAGCCTACGTGGAGTGTCACGGGTTGGTGGAGTGGTCGAGCACACAGAGATGGGAAGCTGCTGGAGGGCTCTGAGCAGGCAGTGCTTCAGTCAGTCTAGACAGGGGCAAGGTAGACAGCAAGGCTGGCCAGGAACCTCGGTGTCCTGGGAAGCAGTGACGGAGACATTTATCAGGGTGGAAGCGGTGAGTGAATGCTGGACTCCTTGTAGACTCTGCCCGGAAGGGTTAGATGCAGAGCATGAGCCCCCACCCCCCCACAAAGAGCCTGCACAGTTTGTTCAAAGAGATGGGACAGGTGTTCTGGGAGAAGCCCTGGAGCTCAGCCTGGGACGTAAGTCTAAAACGACTATCGCATGTCCAAGCGCACAGGCTCAGGAACAGTGTCTAAGATCGGGTTCGGTAAAAATTCAATGTGTGAGGCCACGTGGCACCTGCCTGTAATTGTGGCATCCAGGAAGCTGGGGCAAGAGGATCATAAGTTCAAGGATGGCCTGGAATACATAGTGAGATGCTGTGTTAAGAACAATATTCCAGGACAGCCAGGGCTACACAGAGCAATACTATCTCAAAAAACCAACCAACCAAACAAAAAACCCAAACAAACAAACAAATCCCCCCAAAACAACAAAAACAGCAACAACAATAGACAACAACAAACAGTAAACTAAAATAGAGAAAAATTCCAATACAAAGTCAATCTTTTACACACACACACACACACACACACACACACACACACACGCACGCACACACGCGCAAACACACACACGCACACACACACACACACACACACAGACAATAAATTTTAATTTGGGGGTTGAATTTTAGCCCTCTTTGAGCATTTAACGAAAGCTACATGGTCACTCTTCAAAAGGGGAAAAACATGATTATGGTTTTGTTTCTGATTTCTGGGGCTATTTGAAGTCCATTCACAGGCAGACCTTCTGCTAAGAACTTCTAATTTACAGAGTAAGATGAACTTCTATGCTTTAGGGTCTTTTTGATATTAAACATTATAAATCTACAATCTGACTAGGTCTGGGAATGAGCTTGGAAATCTCAAGGTCTTACTTCTTTTTAATACTATTGTGGTCTGGTTCCAGAAAGATGGATGTGATTGTTCCTATTCCTGCCAGTTACGTAGCATTCTTGTACTTGTGATAGCGCTCAGTAAACAGGATGTTAGGGTCTCTTTTTAAAAATAGCACGGCTGTGGAGAGTAATGACCGTTGCTGGGGAGAGAATCCACGTGTATTTAAGGTCCAGCTCTGTGCCGCTCTCTAAGTCATCCAATTCAGTCATCCAACACCCAAAACCCAGATCCAGCGATGCTATCTCCCTGCGGAAATTTGGAGCCACTCTCCAGGACCCCTGAAATGTGGCTCGCGCTCTTCAGAGTGGCATGAAAGGACTGGACTAGTGGCATGGAGGAAGCACCTGTGGGCTTGCGTGTTGAGCTGGGGCTGTCGTTCCCATCGGTAACAAGCTAAGAGAGCGTGGACTATATTTCTAGCTCTCATGGTCAGTCCCTGTAGCAGGTCATATTCTGACTTTGTTAGAGAAGAGATAGTGGGGGCCCCACGTGTTCAGGGTCACGTGGCCAGTAGTGGGCACTGGGCTGGCATTAATGTTTCTCTAACTTCAAACTCAACACTTAGGCTGTGCTCTGCGGCTTCCTTCTCCTTTGAGCCCAGTTTCTCTTCTCTTTATTCTGTCTACCCTGTTCTGAAACTTAGGGCAGGCTCACTGGACTCCTCTGGGTTCTTTCCCATCTAGTGTTGAGGAGACCTAATGCACATGGCTACGTGACGCTGCAAATGATTGCAGCTGTGGATTCCCTGCTACTTCTGCAGGCTCGGTGCCTGGCCAGCTCAGCGCCTGGCACAGATGAGTCTCAAATCACAACTGAAGGGAACTGACTCAGGGGTTCTAGTCCCTGAGGATGTCTCTCTTGACCATTAGGGCTTCTGGTGGTCCTTAATATGGTGCATTTAACCAGTGGCAGTCTCATGTTTTGAAATAGAGACTACATCTTGTAATATGCGTAGCCATCTCTGTATACATACATACATACATACATACACACACACACATACACATACACATATATAATGGCTATTAAAATAATATGCTGTCTGGTTCCTGCCATAATAAAGTATTTTGTTCTTTTAGTTTTTTATTTTATTCACAGAAGAATACAAAGTGTACCTCTCATTTGTCTTAAACAAAAACCTCCTGGTTGCCCCCCATTTCACCTTCACTAGAGGTTCACCCGCACTCCACATACTATCTCCTCCTGCTGTTCTCTTCTGAGCTCCTGTCCTCACCTTCTCCTGAGTTTCACTTCACCAATCACTTGCTACCTCCAATTGCCAAAGTCAGAAGCTGATTTGTTTCTTTGCTTTGTGACAATATTTCACAGCTACTTGTGTTTTTCTCTTGATTTCTGAGGAATTAATTGTTCCAGTGAAAGCAACCGGTTAAGAAAGAAGGCTGCTCCATTGAGGGGCACCTAGGCTGTTTCCAGGTTCTGGCTATTACAAATAGTGCTGCTATGAACATAGTAGAACAAATGCTTTTGTAGTATGTTAGGGAATCTTTAGGGTATATTCCCAAGAGTGGAATTGCTGGGTCCTGAGGGAGGTTGACTCCCAGTTTCCTGAGAAACCGCCACACTGATTTCCACAGTGGCTGCACGAGTTTGCATTCCCACCAACAATGGATGAGTGTTCCCCTCACCCCACATCCTCTCCAGCATAGGCTATCGTTGGTGTTTTTGACTTTAGCTATTCTGACAGGTGTAAGATGGTATCTCAAAGTGGTTTTGATTTGCATTTCCCTGATCGCTAAGGAGGTTGAGCATGACCTTAAGTGTCTTCTGGCCATTCGAAGTTCATCTGTTGTGAATTCTCTGTTAAGTGCCCCTCAATAGAAGAATGGTTAAAAAAGGTGTGGAACATATACACATTAGAGTTTTACTCAGCGGTAAAAAACAATGACATCTTGAATTTTGCATGCAAATGGATGGAAATAGAAAACGCTTTACTGAGTGAGGTAAGCCAGACCCAAAATGAGGAACACGGTATGTATTCACTCATAAGTGGATTCTAACCATAATTAAAGGTCTTTGAGCCTATTATTCGTGATCCTAGAGAAGCTAAATAAGAAGATGAACCTGATGAAGATTATTTAGCTATCCACCAGGAGGTAGGAAATAGACAAGAGTCCCAGGTAACCTCGGGTGCATGGGGGGGGGTGGGAGGGTTGATGGAAGGGGAGAGGGTTAGAGAGAAGGGAGTAGGGGAGGAATGGGGAAAGCTCGGTGGCCTGGGATGGGGGGGGGAGGAAGGATGAATATGGGATCAGGGAAGAATATATTTCAACTAAGGGAGTCATTTTAGGGTTTACAGGAGACTTGATTATATATGGGATCCCAGGTCCAAGGAGAGATCCCCCAGATTGTTCTCTGGACAGAGGAGAGGGTGCCTGAATCGGCTGTGGCCCATAACCATACTGATGTATATTTTGCTTATCACCATAGATCCTTCATCTGGCGAAGGACGGCGATACAGTCGGAGACCCACATTGGAGCACCGGACTGAGCCCCCCGAGGTCCAAATGAGGAGCAGAAGGAGGAAGAACATGAAAAAGGAAATCAGTACTGCGAGGGATGCTATCACCCACTGATACAAGGAAACGGATCTAATGAGAGTTTACCAAGGCCAGTTGGACTGGGACTGAACGAGGACCTGATCTAACCAGATTCTCGGAATTTGGCCGGATTCTCTGAATGTGGCTGGCCCG